AACTGTTTTTTCACTTGCTAATTAAGGAAAGAATGGTGCTAATTTCTTTTTGTTCAGCGTTGTAATTAAGGTCATAAATAATTTTTTTGACAATATTTTCTTGGTCGTGACGGTCGTAGACTGGAAATTTGTTTTCGGGAAATCCTAATAAAGCAGCATGTCTGCTTAAAAGAGCATAGCAAAATGAGTGAAAATTATAGATATTCAACTCTGATTTTTGGGTTGGGTCAACATAAGGATAAATTCTTTTTTTGATTTCCTTAATGGCTTTCTTAGCAAAGGTTAGCACTAAAATTTGTCGTGGTTCGACTTTTTTAGCAGTTAGCAAGTGAATAATTCGAGTAATTAAAGTTTTGGTTTTTCCGCAACCAGGTCCCGCAATTACGCAAATTAATCTATGCTCCTCTAAAACTGCTTTTTTCTGTTGGGGGTTTAACTCTTGTAAGTATTCCATCACTATAAGAATTTTTGACAGAAAATTACCAAATACATTTCGGATTCAACTATCTTTTTGGTCTTAAAAAGAGCGAAAAGTAAAATAAAAAGATATTGTAAATTAATAAAATTTCGGTTCCTGGATAGTCAAAAAATCCGATGTATCTAACTTAATAAAACGATAATTAACAAATTTTTCTTCTAAAGAACTCAATAATTATTATTTCCTTTTTATGCTAATTTTCATTTTTTGTCTATGTAAGCAAAAAAAATATATTACACATAACTTAATTGTTTTTTAAATAACATTATAAATAAAAATCCAACAACTAACTGTTTTTTTGATTACTTTCCCGTAATTTCTAACTTTTTTTCAATTTCATAATCGATTAATTTTTCGCAAATCTCTTGTAAGTCTCCTTCGAGAATAGAATTCAATTTGTTTCAACTAGTTTCTATTCGGTGATCGGTAACTCGATTTTGTGGATAATTGTAAGTACGAATTTTTTCGGCTCTTTCCGAAGTACCAATGGCTGAAGAGCGTAAATTACCAATTGCTGCTTCTTGCTCTTGACGGTATTTTTCAAACAAGCGACTTTTTAAAATGAATAGTGCTTTTTCTTTGTTGTCATGTTGGCTGCGACCATCTTGGGAAGTAGCAACAATTCCGGTGGGCTTGTGGGTAATTCGTACCGCAGAATCAGTAGTATTAACATGTTGTCCTCCGGCTCCGCTAGAACGATAAGTTTCAATTTTCAAGTCTTGTTGATTAATTTTAACGGCGACATCTTGAACTTCTGGTAAAACAACCACGCTAGCAGTAGAAGTTTGTAAACGACCCTTGTTTTCGGTAATAGGAACTCTTTGGACTCGGTGTACTCCTGCTTCGTTTTTTAAGTATTTAAATGTTTCCTTACCTTTAATTAAAAAAGCCACGAAAGAGAAATTCCCCAAACTGTCTGCTCGGGCTTCTACTAATTCTACTTTTCAACCTTGATTATCAGCAAATTTATGATACATACGATATAAATCTCGGGCAAACAAGCCTGCTTCCACTCCTCCTGTGCCTGGGCGAATTTCCACTAAAACATTTTGTTTAATCCCTTTTTGGCTAATTAATTCTTGTTTAACTTTTTCAATTAGAATTGCCTTTTTTTCTTCTAATTCTTCTATCTCCTGTTCTAAAATAGTTTGATTTTCTGGGTCGTTCGTTCCTTGTTTTAAAAGTCGGTATTCTTGAATTTCTTGGCTGATTTTTTCGTAATCATTTTTAATTTTCAAAAAAAGAACAAATTGGTTGTCTTTTATTTTTGGAGGATGAGAAACTTCAAAAGAAGAACTTTTCTTTTTCTCTAACTGCTGAAAAAAATTGATTATTTTTCTTTCTAGTTCAGCATTATTCATATTAATAATTTTTGAAGCGTTTTTTGTTATCAGAATTAATGTTTTCTGGCAGTTACACTTCGCAAGATAAATCATCAGTTAGAACAGAATACGGCTTATGTTTGGTTAACAGTTATTTACAATGATTAGAGGAAAGAGAG